ACGTAATTAACATACAATTATGTTAAGTGTTCCAATTGAACCTCATGTTGTTCCAAACACGTGTGTTTTTTCTGTTCAACACTTAAGTATATATTTATATTATATCACAGAGCTCTATTCAATGACAGCACGTGTGACCAGTCTACAACAGGAATTTAGATTAAAAAAAGGCAATGTCAATGATGCCAAAAAACATTGGTTCTTGTGTGTCTTGTGACCACAATTGACATGAATCTACTATATTGATTAGCTACAGCATACAGGATATTTTCAGTCAATAACCAGCTAGATTTATATGGACTATTTCTAATGTGCTTTTTGTCTGCTTTGGACATTGAAACACACAATAAAAATACTATAAAGTGTCTATGTACCATCATTGGGCAAAAAAAGATAAAAAAGATAAATAATAAATCTAGAAAAAAACATTCCACTGAAAAAAAGATTTTTGGGCAAATATTGTATTACATAAAATTAAAAATATATCAAATAATAATGATATAAAAATATATAATTAATATTTTAAATCACAGTTGCAATTTGACAACACTTGAGAAAAACAATGATATAGTAGGCTATCACTGACTCGTTTTTTTTTTAATTTGTAGAATCTAAAGTACTATTATATAAGAAATAACAAAATTATATTTACTGGTCAATGCCTACAAGTAGGCAATATACTTTTTTCCTTATTGCAACAAATTATCAAATGAGAAACAAATAAAATACAATCGAGAAGTAAATAAAACCCTAAGCAAAAAATAATTAAACCACTAAAATAAACATACATCTTACTAACTTTCATATTTCACAATGTATTTAGTTATCATGCATTTTCAGGACAAGACTTCATCTCACCTTTCCTGCGTGGTGGAGGGTGGAGGGCTGTCGTCTGACTGTTTCGCGTCCCATTGTCACGTGTCTGCATTTCCCGGGAAAATACATCCACTGTCGCAGACGTGCGTAAATGACGTAGTTACGTATTTGGATTTCACGTTGCAATTGTGACTATTTATTTGACCGAATAGAAAACTCTCTGATGACAAGAATCTTTTTTTTTTTAATCGCAGTAGTGTTTCTTCTTCTTCTTCAAAAAAAAAAAAACTGTCGTGGATCAAGTCTTTCTAGTGGACAGAGCACATGATCACTTGTAAACGAACTCACCCGACTCGAACTAGGAACCAGTGCGCATGTCCGAACAAGCACAGGTTTAAAAGAGCAAAAAATGCAAAATGAGCAACCTAGATATCTTGAACAGACATCTTATTTTCTACTAATAGCATTTATTAATCAAAATAGTAAACTGATGTATGCAAATACACAGCAGGGCTGATATTCAAGCTGGTATAATATGTCTCTACTTTTGGAGTCTGTGTTGTTGTCAATTTATTCGAGTTAAGATGGGGGATGGGTGTGGATTATTTCGAGGCTCTAAATTAAACTTTAACAAGTACTTTAACAGCATTATCTTCTTTGTATTTCTTTCATAAATTAATGGTATTTTACATTACAGGGCGGAGAAGCTAATAGACCTTGTAAAAGTGCTTTAAAAACGCATAGCCACGACAGTTTGTGATCTTTTGAGCAGCACTTCTGCTTAGCTATCTACCTGTAACTGTCAGTCTGTTAGTTCAGCCAGAGACAAGTTCAACTCTCTGTCACTCCAGTCAGTCTCAGTGCTGTGGGGGAAGGGCGCGCGCGCGATCAGTCTCTCTCAGTGCTGTGGGGGAAGGGCGCGCGCGCGATCAGTCTCAGTGCTGTGGGGGAAGGGCGGCTGATCACAGTGTGAGCAGATCTCAGTCAGACTGACAGTCACAGGCAGAGCTAGGGTTAGGGTTAGGGTTAGTGCAGATCCAATGGCTTTTAAAATCAAATTAAGTACAAAATAATTATGTAAACAAACATTTAAACGTGTCAGCTTGATTCATGATTCTTTTAAACACTTTTTTTCTTTTGTATGACTATATGTAACTGCTCTGCCCCCCCCCCCCCCCTCTCTCTCTCTCTCTCTCTCTCTCTCTCTCTCTCTCTATCTATCTATCTATCGATTATATATATATATATATATATATATATATATATATATATATATATATAGGCTATATATATATATATTGAGAGATAGATAGATAGAGAGAGAGAGAGTGAATGTATGCTGTAACTGCTCTCCTCTATAAACAGTTCTTATCAGTCGCTTTGGTACATTTCTTGAATCATCCTTAAGATTTGCAAACAAGGAAAGTGCATTTCGTACAAACAGCAGAACACAATAGGATTACATGACAGCATTTTGACATTCTTGTTTGTGACACAAGGCACTGATATGTTCATTGATATATATTGTACTAAGGATTTTTAACAAGTTACAGGCTTTTGATGGTTGTCAATATAACTGTATCAGTATTTTGAGAAGTAAACACTGGCTACGATTTTGATGACAATGAAAAGACTGCACATTATCTGTATGACACATAAACACATGTACCCATTATGAGACTGGACTCACAGATACACTGTTGGTCTGTTAAAAAATGACAATGCCATTGCGATGAACAGACTATTCAAACACATACTGTATATGTGTGTGTGTTACATTATGTCTCTATCAAGTATATTTATATAGCGCTTTTCACAATATAGATTGCATCAAAGCAGCTTCACAGTATCAATCAAAACATAATAACAATGTTCGTTTCTTAGTGGAAAAACATCCACGTTTGGTAGAGCTGATCAATGGTATTAATGATTGGTTAATTAATTTGAATATCCCCAACTGAGCAAGCCAAAGGCAACAGTGGCAAGGAACCGAAAAACTCCATCAAGTGACCCGATGGTGTCCTAAAACTCCATCAGGGACCCAATGGAGAAGAAAAAAACCTTGGGAGAACCCAGGCTCAGTGGGGGCCAGTTCTCCTCTGGCGTTTATGAACTAGAGGCCGGATTTACAGTAACTGCAAGGTAAAAATGTATATGAATGTCTCTAAACAGACTTTAAACGTGAACCTGTGATTAACGCTGATGGCGTTCACATGCGCATTAAGAATTGATTCTATAGTTATGTGCGTTTGAATATATGTGCGTAGGTTTGTATTTCCCTAGAAAACCATGCCTGAACAAATTACTTGTCTATAAATTTGATACATAATTTTGTTTTATTTTATCACTTCGGGGTAGGTACGCGAAACTAGATTCACAACGCTTTATCTGTAGAGTTTATTGTTTATTGTTTATTATTTAGATCCCCATTAGCTACTCCATTAAGCAGCAGCTATTCTTCCTGGGGTCTTAACAATTTTTCAACAAAATATTAACATCAAGGCTGTACAACAATGAAGACAAATACAGAAGTGCACACAACATCATTTAAGATATCTAATTAGTGGGAAAGGGATCTCTATCACGTATTTTTACTGTCTCATGTAAAATGCAAGTAGACTCCACTGTAATACAGTAAGTCTACAGCTTATGGTGAACAGTACAGTATAGTGAACACTGTCTGATTACACGCATGTTCTGTCTATAAAGACTTGAATGTTTGAGGACACACACGGTTGTTCTCCCAACATTCAGCTCAGCTTTCAACCCGCCTCGGCCATGAGGTCATGAACATGATCTACAATATTGGCCCCTATTTCTTCAGAAACCTACAATCTCTCTGTTTTACCTCTGTATCCTTCCACCACACATCCTTACTCCTCCTCTTCTTCTTCTCGGCTGTTACCCTGTTGTTCTTCCATTCTCAGAGTGTGTATGTGTTGTGCTCTGTCTATATGGCTTCCAGAGGAAGCTTCATGAGATGCACTCTGAGCGATTATAGAGAACTGGTGATCATTGATTGATCTAATGCTTTACATTCCCCTTCATTAGTGAAATTCAAAATTCACATCTGCAATTCAGGACAAAAAAAGTATAATAGAATTGTATAGAAAATATGTTTGACAGTTTATGACAACTAGTAATTTAATGCCTATATGTTTTGAGGGGTAAGACTATTCAACAGAGAACCAGTATAATACATTTTGATCAACATGACATAAGCAATTGATAATGTAAGAAACAGCAGACACTTACATTTATTGCATGAATGTACCAAAGCATTTGCAATTTGTTCAAAAGAATGATAAACTGCTTTCATGATGTGCACAAGTGACTAGATGATGTGGAGGTTGAACAAGAATTTTAGTTGTGATTTGAGAAATGCACCAAAGCGCCTTAAAAAAACGTATGTAATTAGTGTAAACATTTAATTAATATAATAATATAATATGAGAATGTTTCATGCAGCTGCTCTCCTCTATATAATATAATATAAAATAATATAATATATACTACAAAGAGAATGTTTGCTGTAACTGCTCTCCTCTTTATATAATATAAAATAATACAATGCAATATAATATAATAAGAATAATGTTTGCTGTAACTGCTCTCCTCAATATAATATAATATAATATAATATAATATAATATATAAAGAAAAAAGTTAGCTTGTTTGCTGTAGTGAATGTGTTGCTGTGGTAACTGGTAACGGAGTCCTGTCCTGCTCGTGCGGGGGGTGGGGGAGGGGCGGTGGCCACTCAGGGAAATCACTGATATTATGAGAGGAAACGGCAGAACGCAAAGTAGGAGAAAACACTTCAAACAAATAAAATCACTCATAAAAGCAAGCGATTTAGCATGTTTTCACATCTTTTGGTGGCTTGTGTGTTTTTATTAAACAAACTTGGATGAATAAATCATCACATCCATATTGACAGATTTAAACAGCTGTTCCTCCGCTTTTGGAAGAAAATATGTACTTTGTAAATTCACATGACGTAATGTCTCTGTCTCTTCCCCGCTTCAAACTCGTTCCTACATGATTAATAAACTCCTATGTAAGTTACTGTACAGCTGTATAGTCTCGGTGACGCGCAGCAGCGCGATCTTCACACACACATAACGTTACACAGAGCAGACTCCGATGCGAGAGCAAAACTGCGAGGATTAAAGTTTAATAACATGCCCATATACATCGTGAGAGCTCCTGCTGCTCAGGGTAAATTAGTCTATTTTTATTTAAATAATAATTATTGCGAATTTATCTATTATTGAATGTGGATTATCTGTCAATTCATTCATAATAATGATATCGCCTCCGCTCCGCCATTTTTGTTGATGACGTGATGGCCTCAGATTGGTCAGATCATTAAGTCCCGCTCTCATAGTGGCTTCCTGCGCTCTGATTGGTCAGAATCCCCGAAGTGTGTATCTTTTCCGGAAGTGCAGTACTCCTAGAGGGCGCTGTGTTATACACACTTTAGTGGGGGGGCATACACACTTCACATACACAAATCACTTAAAACTGATTTTTTGGGACAAGTGAGATTTTAAGTCTGGACACCATTTTAGAGTATGCTGAATGCCATTATATAGTCAAACAAATGAGGACATACAAAATGTCCTCAATTTTTGAGGTGGTCCTCAGTTTACTGGTGTGTATCCTGGTGAATGTACCCAAAAGGGACATAAACAAACACACACACACACACACACACACACACACACACACACACACACACACACACACACACTCACACTCTTACACACTCTCACACTCACTCACACTCACTCACTCACACACACACACACACAC